TTGTTTTGTACATAGGTCTTTAACAGGCTTTGCAAAGAAAATGTGGACACTTAATCTGGGGCGCTGTTGACCTTCATTAAAGTGACATCCAAACCATTTATTTCTATTTGCAGGCTATCGAGTTTGATCCTGTGACCCACCTTCCCACCATCACTGACAGCTGTACTGGTTGTACTCTGTGCTACAGTGTATGCCCTATTATTGACTGCATCAAGATGGTTGCTAGGACAACAGCTTATGAACCAAAGAGGGGCCTTCCCTTAACTGTCAATGCTGTGTGCTGAGGTGATTAGTTCAACAATGACACAAACATCAGTAATACCACTAATGACTTACTGTGTTGTTATGATACATTATTTGAAATCCAGTTGAGTTATGGAAATTATAAAAAGAGATAGTGATTTTTAATTACAAATCTACACACAAACCATTTTCAAATTAAAGTTGCCTTTCAGAATTTTAGATTAGCCTTTTAGAATAGTATCTAATAAACAATGTAAAGTGCCTGTGCATTTTGCTCTTGCAATTGTTAAAATATCAAAACAGTTAATTTGGAAGAAACTATTAAATAAATAAAGCCATGTAATGCCGTCTGAGTGTCTTTCTATGTTCATATTTTCTTTGTAGCTGAGAATTGTCAGACATAATTAGTTATATATGGGGGGGGGGGGGGGGGGGGAATTAAGCAAAGAATTACTGTTTGTATACAGACAGTAGATTTACAATGAGGATTTAACACTGGATTAAGTACTTTGTGCAGTGCATCCACTGATAAAACATAATGTATTTCTTAATCCCTAGTACATTAGGGTTTATAATGGGCACCGTGGAAGACGGCATTATTAACCAATTTAAATGAACTTGCCCTGTTTACTAATGTATTCCACATGTTTTTCATCACATCCTGTCTCCATTATTTTTCTTTTAACTCTACAGAACTCAAGCATTTTTTAAAATCAGCACTAAAAGGCTGGCACTGCAACTTTTTTCATTTACTATCAAAACAAAATACTTTATACCAGTGTGATTTTAACTGGAGGATGAGCTAGCTTAGTTGTTATAATATCTTGACTCCCAGTGAGCATAAAATTAAAGCCTTTATGCAGTGGTGTAATCCAAAATGAAGAGACACTGTATAGTGTGGGAGGAATGTGGGGTTTATGATGATGTCCAGATGGGTGGTGATTAGATCATTCCTTGTTCTGCTGCACAGTTCACACATACAGAACACCAAACAACTAGTAAAAGTTTTTTCCTTGATACCTGCACAGAACATGAAGTTAAATTGCAACCAACATTTGCAGTAAAAGCATAACTTTTGGTGAGATACTTTGTAAAACTCTTCAATGTCTACAGGGATGTAATCCCCAAATTTTTCTTATGACATTATTAACAATTCTCGGGTGGTGGTAATGGAGGTAAATGATCCTACTTGGCCAGAAGTTTTCTTACATCAATATTCCCAGAGCAGAAGCAGATTACAATTTGCAATTACATTTCCGATATTAATTTCAATTTACATATGTTCACATCAAAATTTTATGAAGTCTGCTCTTTTGTTCTTCTGCACTCTATTTATTCTGCTTATATCAACAACATCCAAGATGAATGGAAAACAAAATGAATAGCTTCTTATCAGTAGATCACCATTAAAATTGTGATTAGGCACCATCAGACCTGTTCACTGAAAACCATGGGTCAGAAAGACCTGCTGTTTTTCCGATGAGAATAGAGGAATGGTTCTGGAGAATCGATAAAAGAGATAGAGGAACTCACAGAAATCTCAAGAGCAATACTCTCTAAAGTTTCCTCTTTTGGACTCATTTTAAGGTGATTTCTGTCTACCATGACTTATGTCCACAAAAGTAAAAACGTATGCTGTAATCATGAGACTACGGCTCCTATACCACCTATACTGTTTGAGGTTCACCTTCAGCCATAGGCAACCCTATTGGACTGATCTGCATCCTGTTTGTAGGGGATAGGAGAATGAACAAATTTGTATCCCCTAACTTTAGATCCCTTCATCTATTCCCAACCTTTACCTTCTTCTCCTATATTCTTGTCCCTCCTACCCCTCCTTCCTCCCACTCCTATTCTTCTCTTTCTTCTCCCTTCCAGGTGGTGACTCAAAGCTGCATCTTTAATTTGGACAGGAGTTTCTGATGGGTTATCACTTCTTGTTTGCATTTGGTTACAATACTTGGTCATTTCTCATGGCTTTTCTTTATCTACTAGACTTCTTGTTTCTGTTTAAGGTTACATGTCACCGTGTTCTCCCTTGTCCATATTCTGGTATAATATGTATCTTTGTCTTGCATTTTGCATACAGATTCGCTTAGTTTACTGCCTTGCATGGTCATGCTCTCTATTGTGTTAATAAACTTCTTATGGAAAAAAAAAAACACCTGCTATTTTTAAATATCAGTTCTGGTGCAGTGATAAGGAGTCCTTGGAGGACATCTGCCATTGTACTTCATGCAAAGTATAACCAAATTGTATCCAAGTCTACATGGCTCCATTTCAGAAAATGAGAAGAAATATAAATGTGTTTTTCTTAGCAGTACTATGCTTAAGAATATGAGGGTTGAATCGTATCTTTAAAAAAAATTATGTTCTATTCCAGTGGTCTTTTGAATAAGGTTAAAAATCTGTGCAAGAACAACTGTTAGTGAAAAAGACCTGTGTGTTTTTAATTTCTGTTTTAGTGCAGTGATATGTTGTCTTTGTTCTTTATGCATAGTGCACCCAAAGTTCCCCTTTAACACTGCAGTACAAATGTCTCAATTCCTAAAGATTTTGCACACATTTAAACATGTTTTCCATAGGAGTACAATACTTGTGAAGGTGCATAGATTGGATTAAACTATCAGAGTTGTGTTATATCTTTAAAACATAATTTCTTCTAAGCCAGTGGTAAATTATATTATTACTATAATGGATTTATATAGCGCCAACAGTTTACGCAGTGCTTTAAATCAGGTAAGTCAAAACAAATCTCTTTTTCTTTCTTTATAAGCTTTCTCCCTTTCAGCTGACAATGATAAACTGGCAGTTGACACAAGAGAACTTTTAGTCATTTGTATTTTTTTTAACTTATTATAGTATACACTAATATGTTCTGATCCTATGGGCTTTCATGTATTTCAACAAACAGCACTACATTTATTTTGTAAAGAAGTGGTCATCTGAACTTTTCCAATCCAGTTAGTTCAGCTTTCATCTCATGTAAATTTCCAAAAGTGGCTGCAACCCTATAGATTGTCATCCAAGCCTAATAAACCTGGATTCAATAAAAATAGTTATTAGAAAAAAAATTCTAATATAGTGATGTACATTTATGAAAGAACATCTTTATAAAATAATGAAGCAACTGTGCACATTGGGTTAAGCACCTTTGTGCACATCTTAGAAATACATAAGTGAAACAACTTTTAATTAAATAGCAAAATTGGACAGTGGAATTATGTGGATATTCCAAAAATCAAGACAGTGAGCTGAATTTAAAAAAAATGCAGTTTTTTTTGTCAGAATTTACAGTTTAAAGAAATGTTTTATTTAGTGAATGTAGATGTGTAATGTTAACTAAATTTGAACTACACAGAAATGTTTAGTATATGAGTTAATAACTAAGTCTAGTGAGTAAGTTAATACATTTTGTAGGCAGAGATTGACCTGACAAGTGCAAATATTTAATACATTTAGTGAAAGCATAAAGGTTTGCACATCTTGTTCCTAAAAACATGCTAATTACTTCTGATGCTAATGGAAGAAAACAGCTTTCAACTGGCAATTTGTGTAATATTTGTGCATGGTTTGCATATGATTAGCATTTTGGAACATTTTATTTTAAAAGTATTGCACTGCATTAGAATTTTATTTAAAAGGTAGCATGCATTATTATAAACTCTCACAAATCTATGAATTGATTATCTAATACTTTAATATTTGGGTGACAAAGAAAAACGTATTCTGCTGCAATATTTTTTTAGCTCTTGTTGTGGTGTATGTCTATGGTCCTCTATTTTCTAGAAGAACATAGAAGATTCTACTTATTACTAGAGATAATGTTTCAAGTAGATAAACAGTGATTAAAAAAAAAACTTGTGGTATATCCATTATAATTTTACATTTTGGCTGTACAACACCCTATGGCAAATTGTCTGAGGGACACCTGACCATCACACCTATATGGCTTTTTGGACATCCTATTAAAAAACCATGGGCATTTATTAATACTCCCGATACCTTAACTTTTACACATGGAGGGTGCTGACCAATCTAACCAAACTGTCATCGCTGCAAGGAGAGGAAAGAAAGTGGGGAGGAATTAAAATCTCTGCCGCTTTCTCTCCTCTACTTCCACTGAGACTCACCATGGGATGCCTACAGGGAGGTTTCCAGCACCACTCTTATGTGAACTCAGGCTATGACAAGCCTGGGTTCACACAGGAGCAGTGGGGAAAACTGCATGCGATTTGGACAAGAATCGCATTTCTGTTCAAATTGCCTGCTAATCTTTGTTGTGCAATTTGCATCCATTAACGTAAATCGCACCACACAAAGTAATCGGTATTGGCAAAGTATCGGTACTAGTACTCGCCGATAAAAAAAAAACGGTAACAGTGCATCCCTTAGGTTGATTTCTAGATTCAAAAATAGCTGGTGTGGGTCCTGTTGAAAATGTGTAAACACTGCGCATGTACCCAATGCAATGTTTTGGGTGCTTTTTACAGTGTAATAATTACACGCGCTGATTTCTTGATTAAAAAAATAGAATTTTGATTTACCAGTAAAATACCTTTCTAGTATCACAGTACGGAACATAAGATCTTTAGACTTTAAAACCATAGGTTATATGCAGCTACTAGAGATGAGCGAATTATTCAAAAATTCGATTCGACTGATTCGGCGAATTCGTGAAAAAATTTTGATTCGAGTCGAATATATTCGCTGCGAATTTAACTTATAAAAGGGTGTTTCTAGGCTTCAGAGAGCCTTTATATTAGTGCAGAACACTGTACCTTTAATTTAAATGCCCTTGGAGTCTGCTGGGGAAGAGAAATAATACAGACAGTCAGTATGACATGCAGATGAGTGCCGTCGATCTTAGAATCACCGCACACTTCACTCATTTGGGCAGTCACGGGGCCAAAACCAGAGTGTGGAGCCACAGTGTGGCGGTGGAGGCAGCAGCAATGGGAGGCCATACAGCACCCTATGACAAAAATGGAAACCACCAGCAGTGTGAGGAGACCTGAAAGTGGCACATGGCAGAGTGTGTGGCGATGGAGACAGCAGCAATGGGAGGCCGTACAGGGACCCATGACACACTCTGGACCTGGCAGCAACATGAGGAGGCGGTACAGGGGCCCATGACAGATTACGGGCCTGGCAGCAGCATGAGGAGTTGGTACGGGGGCCCATGGCAGATTACGGGCCTGGCAGCAGCAATGGGAGGCCGTACAGGGACCCATGACACACTCTGGACCTGGCAGCAGCATGAGGAGGCGGTACAGGGGCCCATGACAGATTACGGGCCTGGCAGCAGCATGAGGAGTCGGTACGGGGGCCCATGACACACTCTGGACCTGGCAGCAGCATGAGGAGGCGGTACAGGGGCGCATGACAGATTACGAGCCTGGCAGCAGCAACTTGGACAGGAGGACGTTCAGCTTCTGCAAAATCGTTGGGTGCGTGCTCGCAAACTGTTGTCTCTTGGAAACGGATTCCAAGAAAGACTGCTGACGGAATCCGTGAAGAGGAGTAGCAGGAGAAGGAGCATCTGAACGAGCGGAATATGCCAACAAGCGACAACAGGGGCCCATGACAGATTACGGGCCTGGCAGCAGCATGAGGAGTCGGTACGGGGGCCCATGGCAGATTACGGGCCTGGCAGCAGCAATGGGAGGCCCGTAATCTGCCAGCACCCTATGACAAAAAATGGAACACACCAGCAGTGTGTGAGGAGACCTGAAAGTGGCACATGGCAGAGTGTGGCGATGGAGACAGCAGCAATGGGAGGCCGTACAGGGACCCATGACACAGACTCTGGACCTGGCAGCAGCATGAGGAGGCGGTACAGGGGCCCATGGCAGATTACGGGCCTGGCAGCAGCATGAGGAGGTGGTAATCTGGGCCCATGGCAGATTACGGGCCTGGCACAGCCTAATGGGAGGCCGTAATGGACCATGACACAGCAGTGTGGACCTGGCAGCAGCATGAGGAGGTGGTACAGGGGCCCATGACAGCTGGGCCTGGCAGCAGCATGAGGAGGCGGTACGGGGGCCCATGACAGACTCTGGACCTGGCAGCAGCATGAGGGAGGCGGTACAGGGGCCCATGACAGATTACGAGCCTGGCAGCAGCAATGGGACAGGAGGACGTTCAGCTTCTGCATCGTTGGGTGCGTGCTCTCAAACTGTTGTCTCTTGGAAAATCGGGCGGATTCCCAAAGACTGCTGACGGAGATCCGTGAAGTGGAGTAGCAGGAGAAGGTGCATCTGAACAGCAGCGGAATATGCCAACAAGCGACAACAGGGGAGATGACTTACGGACCTGGCAGCAGCATGAGGAGGCGGTACGGGGCCCATGGCAGATTAGGGCCTGGCAGCAGCAATGGGAGGCCCGTAATCTGCCAGCACCCTATGACAAAAAATGGAACACACCAGCAGTGTGAGGAGACCTGAAAGTGCACATGGCAGAGTGTGGCGATGGAGACAGCAGCAATGGGAGGCCGTACAGGGACCCATGACAGACTCTGGACCTGGCAGCAGCATGAGGAGGCGGTACAGGGGCCCATGGCAGATTAGGGGCCTGGCAGCAGCTATGGGAGGCCCGTAATCTGCCAGCACCCTATGACAAAAAATGGAACACACCAGCAGTGTGAGGAGACCTGAAAGTGGCACATGGCAGAGTGTGGCATGGAGACAGCAGCAATGGGAGGCCGTACAGGGACCCATGAGAGACTCTGGACCTGGCAGCAGCATGAGGAGGCGGTACAGGGGCCCATGGCAGATTAGGGGCCTGGCAGCAGCAATGGGAGGCCCGTAATCTGCCAGCACCCTATGACAAAAAATGGAACACACCAGCAGTGTGAGGAGACCTGAAAGTGGCACATGGCAGAGTGTGGCGATGGAGACAGCAGCAATGGGAGGCCGTACAGGGACCCATGAGAGACTGTGGACCTGGCAGCAGCATGAGGAGGCGGTACAGGGGCCCATGGCAGATTAGGGGCCTGGCAGCAGCTATGGGAGGCCCGTAATCTGCCAGCACCCTATGACAAAAAATGGAACACACCAGCAGTGACGAGGAGACCTGAAAGTGGCTGCACATGGCAGAGTGTGGCTGATGGAGAACATGGGCAGCAATGGGAGGCCGTACAGGGACCCATGAGAGAGACATCTGGACCTGGCAGTGAGGAGGCCCGTGAGCCTCGGGCGGCACTGACGAAAAATAAAGTGGCCACATGGCAGAGAGGGGCCTGGCAGCCAGCATGGGACTGCCCGTAATCTGCCAGCACCCTATGACCAAAAAATGGAACACACCAGCAGTGTGAGGAGACCTGAAAGTGGCACTGGCAGAGTGTGGCGATGGAGACAGCAGCAATGGGAGGCCGTACAGGGACCCATGAGACTCTGGACCTGGCAGCAGCATGAGGAGGCGGTACAGGGGCCCATGGCAGATTAGGGGCCTGGCAGCAGCAATGGGAGGCCCGTAATCTGCCAGCACCCTATGACAAAAAATGGAACACACCAGCAGTGTGAGGAGACCTGAAAGTGGCACATGGCAGAGTGTGGCGATGGAGACAGCAGCAATGGGAGGCCGTACAGGACCCATGAGAGACTCTGGACCTGGCAGCAGCATGAGGAGGCGGTACAGGGGCCCATGGCAGATTAGGGCCCTGGCAGCAGCTATGGGAGGCCCGTAATCTGCCAGCACCCTATGACAAAAAATGGAACACACCAGCATGTGAGGAGACCTGAAAGTGGCACATGGCAGAGTGATGGAGACAGCAGCAATGGGAGGCCGTACAGGGACCCATGAGAGACTCTGGGACCTGGCAGCAGCATGAGGAGGCGGTATAGGGGCCCATGGCAGATTAGGGGCCTGGCAGCAGCTATGGGAGGCCCGTAATCTGCCAGCACCCTATGACAAAAAATGGAACACACCAGCAGTGTGAGGAGACCTGAAAGTGGCACATGGCAGAGTGTGGCGATGGAGACAGCAGCAATGGGAGGCCGTACAGGGACCCATGAGAGACTCTGGACCTGGCAGCAGCATGAGGAGGCGGTACAGGGGCCCATGGCAGATTAGGGGCCTGGCAGCAGCTATGGGAGGCCCGTAATCTGCCAGCACCCTATGACAAAAAATGGAACACACCAGCAGTGTGAGGAGACCTGAAAGTGGCACATGCAGAGTGTGGCGATGGAGACAGCAGCAATGGGAGGCCGTACAGGGACCCCATGAGAGACTCTGGACCTGGCAGCAGCATGAGGAGGCGGTATAGGGGCCCATGGCAGATTAGGGGCCTGGCAGCAGCTATGGGAGGCCCGTAATCTGCCAGCACCCTATGACAAAAAATGGAACACACCAGCAGTGTGAGGAGACCTGAAAGTGGCACATGTTTGGGGCATGATTCATGGCGGATTTAGTCAGTTGTGTCAGGAACTGGTGGTTTGAAATCCAGACTAATCCACGCCTGATTCATTTTCACAAACGTGAGTCTCTCCACACTTTGGGTGGACAGTCGTGTCCTCCGCGGAGTTACAATACCTCCTGCCGCACTAAACACGCGCTCCGATGCCACGCTACTGGCCGGGCATGACAGCCTTTCAAGGGCAAATTCAGCTAGTTGGGGCCAAAGGTCAAGTTTCGTTGCCCAGTAGTCAAGGGGATTGTCTACCTCGGTTGGCAGGGTGCTGTCCAAGTAGGCCCAAGCCTGTTGTTTGAGGTCCTGCTCCAGGTCCACCTGATGCTGCTGCTGCTGCTGCTGCGGCTGGTTAGTAGTTTCCTCACTGCGCTGGTGAAGAAAGCTACTCATCATCGACTGCAGACTGAGGCAGCCGCTGCTGGTGGAGCTGCCACTGCTCCTACCACCCCACCCCTCCCCTGCTGCCATGGCAGCGGAACGCGAGCGCACAGGGCCCACAGTGTCTGAGGATGGACGTTGGCGCAGAAAGGCAGAGACAACTGACTACATAGGTGGTTTTTATAGTACGTTATTTTGGCCTCCCTCTCAGCAGGTGTGAAAAAGGCCACCATTTTTGAACGGTAGCGAGGGTCCAACAAGGTGGTGACAGCCAAAAGTCATCCCTCTGTCTGATGGTTATTATTCGGCTGTCGCTACGCAAGCAACCGAGCATGCTATGGGCCATTTGTGCCAAGGAATGCGAGGGACTCCCTGCCTCCATCTCCACAGCATACTGCCACGGTGCGTCTGGGTCCTCTGTCTCCTCCTCCTCCTCCTCCTCCTCTACCAGATGCTCCTGCTCCTCCACTCCTGTCCGCTGAGTGGAAAAACCACCACCACCCATTTCACTCAATAATTCCTGAGCACAAATGTCCTCCTCTACCTCCTCCTCTTCTTCCTGTCCTGCCCCCACAGGGGTCATGTGGCGTTGAGATCTGTGCGCCACGTCTACCGCACCCTGACCAGCCATTGTTAACAGCATTTGTTCCAGGACGTGCAACAGAGGAATGACGTCGTTCATCCCATAGTCCTGCCGACTCACGAATAGCGTGGCCTCCTCAAAGGGCCTGAGCAAGCGGCAGGTGTCACGCATGAGCTGCCAATGGCTGACATCGAAGTTACACAGGGGAGTACCTTTATCCGCTTGTAACATCAGGAAATCGGTGATGGCCTTTCGCTGTTCGTAAAGGCGGTCTAACATGTGTAGGGTTGAATTCCACCTTGTTGCAACGTCGCAGATCAGGCGATGCTGTGGAATTCCGTTCTGCCGCTGCAGCTCAAGGAGGGTGTGCTTTGCGGTGTAGGAATGGCTGAAATGCATGCAAAGTTTACGTGACATTTTAAGGATGTCTTGCAGTGGGATGGTGGATTTTAGGAACCGCTTGACAACCAGATTGAACACGTGAGCCATGCATGGCGCATGGCACAACCTTCCTTGACGCAGAGCAGACACCATGTTCTTTCCGTTGTCGGTCAACATGGTTCCGATTTTCAGTTTGCGCGGAGACAGCCATCTGTCGATTTCTCTGTTCATTACACTGAGAAGTTCCTCCCCTGTGTGACTACGTTCGCCAAGGCATACCAGGTGCAGCACAGCGTGACACCGTTGCGCCCTGCACATGTGATATGCCGGTCGGGTAATGGGACTTGGCACGGGGGTGGCGGCTGAGGACACGGCGGAAGAAGAGGTGGTAGAGGCGGACATCTTTGCCGGACCAAGGACGTGCAAACGTGGAGGCAAAAGCGGCGTGACCTGTCCAAGTTGCTGGTGCGGCTGTGACGGCACCACGTTCACCCAGTGGGCCGTAAATGACATGTACTGTCCCTGACCGTAGTTACAGCTCCACACGTCGGCGCTGCCGTGCACTTTGGCAGAGACCGACATGCTCAAAGACTGGCCCACCATCTCTTCTACATGTGAATGCAGGGCTGGCACTGCCTTTTTGGCGAAGAAATGACGGCTTGGCACTCTCCACCGCGGCGCGGCACAAGCCATCATTTCTCGGAAAGGTGCTGAGTCCACCACTTGGAAAGGGAGGGACTGCAGCACCAGCAACTTGGACAGGAGGACGTTCAGCTTTTGCACCGTCGGGTGCGTGCTCGCAAACTGTTGTCTCTTGGAAACGGATTCCAAGAAAGACTGCTGACGGAATCCGTGAAGAGGAGTAGCAGGAGAAGGAGCATCAGAACGAGCGGAAGATGCCAACGAGCGACAACTCCCCTCAGCAGAGGTGTTGGAGCCTTGACTGGCTGATAGAGGGCGATTGACGTCGGGTGACGGAGCAAGTAACGGAGCGGGTGATGGAGCGGGGGCTGGGGCAGGCAGAACCGCCGTATCTTTATCACGGTTTTCCCAGGCCACCAAATGGCGACGCTGCATATGCTGCCGCGCAACGCTGTAGTCCCAACATGGGCCCCCTGGCCACGCTTGACTTTCTGGCCACATAGTCGACATACGGCTACGTTTACTTCCTCGGGCGGCTTGACAAAAAATTGCCACACACCGCCGAGTAGGAAACTTTGCCCCCGATACTCCTCACTGGCTGACTGCTGCTTCCTCCGTGCACACCGGCACCACTACTGGCCGTGGTGGTAGGCTGCAGTGGAGCTGGTGCTGTACTCCGTGGCCGTTTGCCTCCACTGACACTGCTGCGACCCTGCTGCCTCCTGGGCAACCCACCGACTGTTTTGCTCGCTGCCAAGCTGCCACCCTCTTCTCCTGATGATGCGGAAGCAATAGCCTGATGACGACGAGGCTGCCAAGTGCGATCAGCCTCATCATCATCAATTAGGGTCTCCGCCTCACTACTAGCCCCCTCGGCTGCGTGTGGGTCAGGAGACAGACCTGTCTCTAGACCGGCTACCGAGCCACTCTCCTCGCCACTACTTCTTCGCCTGGCTGCTGAAGAGGCGGATGTCTCCCCCCGTTCCTGACCGCCCTCTGTTAGCTCTTCCTCACTGTACAGTGGGGCTGAGCCCACAGCATGCGATACTTCGCTTGGTGAGGGAACACCAAAGGACAGGGGCAGGTCGAGGACACGTGATTTCAGTGGGCTTGCTCCCGGGCCATGCCAACTAACGGTTGTGTCTGACGTACCCACCGACCGTTGGCTGTAGGTGTCAGAGGTGACCTGGGAAGAGGAAGACGACCGAGCCAACCAATCGATGACGGCAGGGTTGTCGGTGGAGACACGACCGCTGGATGACACCGGGAGCACTGGCCTCTGGCTGCGACTAGTGCTGCCTCGACCCCTTCCTCTGCTGCCACGTCTGCTCGCTCCTAAAACATTGCCTCCTCTGCCACTCCTCTGCATGTTGTCTGACATACTCTTTAATTAAACGATTCTGTGTCCCTGAGTAACAATTCTGTGTCTGTCCCTGAGTAACAATTCTGTGTCCCTGAGTAACAATTCTGTGTCCCTCAGTAACAATTCTGTGTCCCTCAGTAACAATTCTGTGTCCCTCAGTAACAATTCTGTGTCCCTCAGTAACAATTCTGTGTCCCTCAGTAACAATTCTGTGTCCCTCAGTAACAATTCTGTGTCTGTCCTGAGTAACAATTCTGTGTCTGTCCTCAGTAACAATTCTGTGTCCCTCAGTAACAATTCTGTGTCCCTCAGTAACAATTCTGTGTCTGTCCCTGAGTAACAATTCTGTGTCTGTCCTGAGTAACAATTCTGTGTCCCTCAGTAACAATTCTGTGTCCCTCAGTAACAATTCTGTGTCTGTCCCTGAGTAACAATTCTGTGTCTGTCTGTGTCCCTGAGTAACAATTCTGTGTCCCTGTAACAATTCTGTGTCCCTAGTAACAATTCTGTGTCCCTGTAACAAATTCTGTGTCCCTCAGTAACAATTCTGTGTCCCCTCAGTAACAATTCTGTGTCCCTCAGTAACAATTCTGTGTCCCTCAGTAACAATTCTGTGTCCCTCAGTAACAATTCTGTGTCCCTCAGTAACAATTCTGTGTCCCTGAGTAACAATTCTGTGTCCCTCAGTAACAATTCTGTGTCCCTCAGTAACAATTCTGTGTCTGTCCCTGAGTAACAATTCTGTGTCCCTAAGTAACAATTCTGTGTCCCTCAGTAACAATTCTGTGGCCCTCAGTAACAATTCTGTGTCCCTCAGTAACAATTCTGTGTCTGTCCCTAAGTAACAATTCTGTGTCTGTCCTGAGTAACAATTCTGTGTCCCTCAGTAACAATTCTGTGTCCCTCAGTAACAATTCTGTGTCCCTCAGTAACAATTCTGTGTCCCTCAGTAACAATTCTGTGTCCCTCAGTAACAATTCTGTGTCCCTCAGTAACAATTCTGTCCCCTGAGTAACAATTCTGTGTCTGTCCTGAGTAACAATTCTGTGTCCCTCAGTAACAATTCTGTGTCCCTCAGTAACAATTCTGTGTCTGTCCCTGAGTAACAATTCTGTGTCCCTGAGTAACAATTCTGTGTCCCTGAGTAACAATTCTGTGTCCCTCAGTAACAATTCTGTGTCCCTCAGTAACAATTCTGTGTCTGTCCCTGAGTAACAATTCTGTGTCTGTCCCTGAGTAACAATTCTGTGTCCCTCAGTAACAATTCTGTGTCCCCCTCAGTAACAATTCTGTGTCTGTCCTGAGTAACAATTCTGTGTCTGTCCCTGAGTAACAATTCTGTGTCCCTCAGTAACAATTCTGTGTCCCTCAGTAACAATTCTGTGTCCCTGTAACAATTCTGTGTCCCTGAGTAACAATTCTGTGTCCCCAGTAACAATTCTGTGTCCCTCAGTAACAATTCTGTGTCCCTAGTAACAATTCTGTGTCCCTCAGTAACAATTCTGTGTCCCTCAGTAACAATTCTGTGTCCCTCAGTAACAATTCTGTGTCTGTCCCTGAGTAACAATTGTGTCCCTAAGTAACGTTTCTGTGGCCCTAAGTAACGGTTCTGTGGCCCTCAGTAACAAATTCTGTGTCCCTCAGTAACAATTCTGTGTCTGTCCCTAAGTAACAATTCTGTGGCCTAAGTAACGTTTCTGTGGCCCTAAGTAACGTTTCTGTGGCCCTAAGTAACGTTTCTGTGGCCCTAAGTAACGATTCTGTGTCTGGCCCTAAGTAACGTTCTGTGTAACGTTTCTGTGGCCCTAAGTAACGTTTCTGTGGCCCTAAGTAACGGTTCTGTGGCCCTCAGTAACAATTCTGTGTCCCTCAGTAACAATTCTGTGTCTGTCCCTAGTAACAATTCTGTGTCCCTAAGTAACTGTAACTGTTTAAGTAACGTTTCTGTGGCCCTAAGTAACGTTCTGTGGCCCTCAGTAACAATTCTGTGTCCCTCAGTAACAATTCTGTGTCTGTCCCTAAGTAACAATTCTGTGGCCCTAAGTAACGTTTCTGTGGCCCTAAGTAACGTTTCTGTGGCCCTAGTAACATTCTGTGGCCCTAAGTAACGATTCTGTGGTAACCCCTAAGTAACAATTCTGTGTCCCTAAGTAACGTTTCTGTGGCCCTAAGTAACGTTTCTGTGGCCCTAAGTAACAATTCTGTGGCCCTCAGTAACAATTCTGTGTCCCTCAGTAACAATTCTGTGGCCCTAAGTAACTGTGGCCCTAAGTAACAATTCTGTGGCCCTAAGTAACGTTTCTGTGGCCCTAAGTAACAATTCTGTGGCCCTCAGTAACAAATCTGTGTCCCTCAGTAACAATTCTGTGTCTGTCCCTAAGTAACAATTCTGTGGCCCTAAGTAACGTTTCTGTGGCCCTAAGTAACATTTCTGTGGCCCTAAGTAACGATTCTGTGGCCCTAAGTAACGTTTCTGTGCCCTAAGTAACGTTTCTGTGGCCCTAAGTAACGTTTCTGTGGCCCTAAGTAACGTTTCTGTGTCCCTAAGTAACGTTTCTGTGTCCCTAAGTAACGTTTCTGTGGCCCTAAACGTTTCTGTGTGTCCCTAAGTAACGTTTCTGTGTCCCTAAGTAACGTTTCTGTGTCCTAACTCTCTCCCTGAATACAGCCAGGTTCTGCCTCTGTTGAATGACTGGAGGCAAATGGAGAATTCTAAAATGGCCCCATTTAACAGCTGTGGCCATTACACGATTCTGTGGCTGGCTAACGGCTGTGGCTGTAACAAATCTGGCTAATGCGATCACATTCTGTCATGAATGAATGCATTATGTGGCCCTAGTAACGCGCCTTGTCTGCGCCCTAAGTAACCTTCCCTAGACGATTCTGTGGCCCTAAGTAACGTTTCTGTGGCCGCACATGTCGCCGCCTGTTTTAAGAAAAATTTCGTATTCGTGCCCTAAGTAACGTCTGCCCTAAGTAACGATTCTGTGGCCCTAATCGAAATTTTCCTAATATCAGTAACCAACTTGTAAACTTTAAACAATTTATGTGCTGTCCCTAAGTAACATTCTGTGTCCCTAAGTAACGTTTCTGTGGCCCTAAGAGAGGTGCAGAAATTTGTGTCCCTCAGTAACAATTACTGTGTCTGTCCCTAAGTAACAATTCTGTGTCTGTCCTCTGAGTAACAATTCTGTGGCACTAAGAACGAAGATGTGGCCCTAAGGCAACAGTTCTGTGGCCCTCAGTAACAATTCTGTGTCCGTAGTAACAATTCTGTGTGTCCCTAAGTAACAATTCTGTGGCCCTAAGTAATGTTCTGTGGCCCTAAGTAACGATTCTGTGGCCCTAAGTAACGATTTGTTGTTGCCCTAAGTAACGTCGTGGCCCTAATAACGATCATGGCCCCCGATTCTGTGGCCCTAAGGGACTGTTTCTGTGTCCCTAATAAAAAGTTTCTGTGTCCCTAACTAACGTTTCTGTGGCCCTAAAATCGTTTCTGTGGCCAGTAAGTCCATACTTGATTCTGTGGCCCTAAGCAACGTTTCTGTGTCCCTAAGTAACGTTTCTGTGTCCCTAAAACGTTTTTCTGAATCCACCTCCGTTTTGAGTGTCCCTAATAACGTTTCTGTGTCCCTAACTCTTCCCTGAATGGTTTTTCTTGGTTCAGGCAAATTTATAAAAGCTGACCATTACACAGTGCTGGCTGGCAAATGCTGATTGGCTAATGCGATCACATGTCATGAATGAATGCATTATGGGTCAGCGCGCCTTTCTGCGCGCCTTCCCAGACATCCCCGCTCCGTCGCCGCACATGTCGTCTGCCATTTTAGGAAAAATTTCGATTCGCGCATCCGAAGTCTGCTAATTTTCGATTATATTCTAAACAAATTCCACTTCGCCTACTTCGATTCGCTCATCTGCAGCTACCCTTCAGGTAATTGGATACTGTTGAAATAGAGAGGTGCAGAAATGTCCCTTATATAGCCCCCACCCAACTTTAAACTTTAACCATAGGTTATATGCTGCTACCTTCAGGTGATTGGATACTGCTGAAATAGAGAGGTGCAGAAATGTCCCCTATATATACTTCACCATAAAATCACCAGAATGCCCTCCTTCTCAATCCTTTTTTTACATAATGTGCAGTACAGAGTCATCATATCACTGGTGTAGCAGTGACCAGGGACACTGACTGGTGACAGTAAGAAAAAAATTTTTTTTTTTTTTCAACTTTTTTTATTTTTTATTACTTTTTTTATTTTTTTATAACACACTGTGACCAGAGTAATATAATGTTACCATAGTAACACTGCACTTCTCTGGGGAAGTGATCAGTACTTTTTTTTTACACGGCATGATTGCTTTTAGCATTGACTTTCATTGCTATAAGCAAACATTTTATTGAATAGAATCGATTAATTCAGGTTGTTTTTGGCCACAGCTAATCACGTGACACAGATTGGCTGTGATTGGCCCAGTCTGTACCATGTGATCACTGTGACCAATCAAAACTAGCAGCACAATTGTATCCAATAGATAGTATGAAAGTAGGTGATTGGACTGATTCCATGCAGACATGAGCAATTACTCCCTGTGTGAAGAGCTGCTGATCCACCCTTCCTTGCAGGGAAAATAGCAAATTTGAGAGCCTAAAACCTTCTGAGACCAGAGACTTCCTGAGATTTCCTGAGACCAGAAGACCATTGTTTGACAATCTCTTGAATAAGAGCCTTAAAAATAGCCAGAATTGATTTTCCAGATTGGACTTTAGTTTTAATTTTTTCAGATTTACAGTGGGTTTGCTTATCCCTAGTGTCCACAAACTTTTTGCTATATAGCGTTACCTGTTGAATTAGCTACATTTAAAGCAATTTAGCATATAGTTTTGAATGCTGCTCACTGGTAATATTTAAATCAGAATTTTTTTTAGCAGGAATTTGAATGTACTTACAGTATATTAACAATGCTCATATATTCCACGCACTTGACTTAATGGATATATCACATTATATACAGCATATTAAATATATGCCATCAAATATACACAGTTCGGCAATGTCTGTTCTATTTTTGTGCTATTTATGGCTTTGCTTACAGCTTACTAAAGAGGGGTTTTAGCCTAATGGCTATTGAGAAATATATGCATTATTCAGATTGCTTTAAGCTCCAAATTGCAAACCAACAAAAAGGAAATATCAATGTATGGGCATATATTAAAATGCATTTTATTGCTTCAGATGCTATACCTCAGTTTAAACATGCATTAATTTTTAGTTTATAGTACCTAAATTGGCTGTTTAGATTTAACAACAGATAAAAAAAAATCTAAATTTATACATAAAACCAAGTATAAATTTAGATCTGGTGCTAAAAGCTCTGTTCTCTTGCTAAAGTTTTTCCAAAAACCGTGATAATTATGAATGTCTAAGAATCAATTTAGTACATTATTATTCATGTTTATGATACTGAATGAAAACATTACATCATATGTAAACCCTAACTGAATAAAATTGTTGTTAAATATTTTTCACTTTCTCAATCTTTGTTGTTTCTCAGTTTTGCTGATTTCCTGCAGACATTCTCAGGGTGGGTTTCCTTTTGGTTACATCAGAGGACTATATCTACATAACACATATTGAAATAGCCACCTGTAACTTACATCTGAAGTCCATGTAACAAGGTGACAATGCAGAAGCAAAATTTGGGACAAACACTGTGTTGTCATCCTGTAATAGGAAGTGCATGAGGAAGGACCTCATGTTAAAATTTATATGAGGGGCGCATGCGCGGCCGGCTGCGGGGATGGACGCTCACTGAAGAGAGCTCTGTCCACCCGCCAGCCTGACACCTGCACACTACGGCCCCAGGGAATCATAAATAGCTCAACAGAGCCATTAACCCCTCGCCATCCGACAGAGCTATGACCCGCAGGAGGAAAGCGCCGGGTCACCCTGCTAAAATGACGAGTTTCTACCCGGCACTCGTTCCCTGCAGCCAAGATGGCGCCGGCCCCCTGCAGAACGGCTCATCTGCCCAGCAATAGCAGCAAGGGGAGACCACAGACCACCAGGCTGCATATCATCCGGACCCCAGGCTGAAGGGATCCCTCTACCCAGGAGACCCCGGTGAGTCCTCTCCTCCCCTGTCTCCTACAACTAGCAGCCCATCTTTAATTGAAGCCTATCCTGCTTCTGACCAACCTATCACGGAGATTTCCATGAAGAACATGTTCCTTTCCCTGCGACAAACACTACAAAACGACCTGACGGCTTCATTATCCCAAATTTCCAATACGGTTCAAAACCATGAAAAACGCATCCGCCATATTGAGAACAAATTAGGGGACATGTGCACCACACATAACGAACTTATAGACGCACATACAGACCATACGACAGACATCAAACAAATCAAGCTCAAACTGGCAGATTTAGAAGATCGCTCCAGGGAACAACATTAAATTACGTGGGATTCCAGAATCCACAGACACAGATGCCATTGTCCCTTTCATACAATAATATATGAAAAATCTTATTCCCACCCTCACTGACATGGAATTGGCTATAGATCGAGCACATCGAATCCCCAAATCGTCATTTCTACCGGCGACGATTCCCAGAGACATATTAGCGCACATACATTTTTACCACATGAAGGAAAAAGTGATGATTGCAGCCAGAAATCCGTCCTCCATCCCCTCAGCCCAAGCAAACATTTAATTGTTCGCAGACCTGTCTAAAGCCACACTAAACAACCGTAAGAAGCTCCTCAGCATAACCAAAGCATTACGGAACCACAACATTGCATATCAATGGGGCTTCCCTACGAAACTCAATTTCAAACACCAAGGCAGACTTTTTACAATTCAACAAAATGAGAACTATATCTTTGCTAAATGTCCGAGGCCTCAACTCCCCCTTCAAAAGGTCCCTGCTTTCGAGAGAAGCCCGCACCATTCAACCTGACATTGTATTCCTACAAGAGACCCACTTCGCCTCTTCTAAAATCCCTAAATTCAACATTCCTCAGTTCTCCACAATGTATATGGCAACGAATCCTAAAAAAAAGAACGGCGTCATTACAACTATAAGAGAAGTTCCAATCTATTTCGGAAACAGTGGGCCC